GATGGAGCCCCGCATCAGGCTCCATGTTGGGGAAACCATCCCTCTGAGGAGGAAACAGCCCATTACATTTTTAGCATTTGATAAAAATCTGTCCCCCAGGAGCTTCCAGTCACTCACCCTAGTTCTTCTGTCTGCAAGACAAGGCTAAGCCTGCTTACTCAGCTCCACCATCCTTCTGAGCCTTGCTTTACCAATGAATTGCTTCATAAACTGGGTTACTCTTGCCCATTCACTCTTGCCGGAATAAACTCCAGTTTGCCAATGACCATCACTATGTGGGACACGCAAGGATGTACCCAGAACTCAAACTAATTCTGACCAATTGAAATTCTATGCCATCCTCAGGGTGGTAAGCATCTATTCTTACAGCCCCAGGTTGAATATGTTCTTTGGGCAGCCGCATGGAATCTTTGACTAATAGTAGCTTTTAGTCAATAAGAGATGTGAGTGAGGATGTTTCAGCCACACTTTGCTAACCTAGGCTATTGGATCCCAGGGCAATAAGATCCCTCTTACTGATCTACACATAGTTTTACCTCAACAGAAATTGTTTGTCATGCCAAATATCTTATCCAAACTTGCACAGTGATTTTCATTCCTTGCCATGCAAGGGCTGCTCTCATTTCTTTTGCATGTAGAGAATGGATTGTTTAAATTTTGATCCAGTGGCAGTCAATGGATATCTAAAGAAGCAAAAAGAAAGACTCCTCACAGGCACAATGGGCATATCATCTCACATCAAACAGTTCTTTCACAGCACAACCCCAGGATCCTTCTACTCAACAGTTATGCCTGACCACAAAATTGAAAGTATCTCTATTTTAACTCAAGGATAACCAAAATAGACTGGTGAATGGGAAGTAGCAATATGCTAGTCTTTCTTAAAATGCCCTGGTTCTAAATTAAATTGCTTATTTTTTTATTCTTTATATTTTAATTTAATTAGTAGTAATTGTGTCATGGTTCTTATAGAAATTTTTATTTTCTAGTTTTACAATCAAGAAGTAAAGGGAAAATGCTTTAAAGTATAATTTTTAGAGGTCAGCGAATAGGCTAGAAGCCCTCTTCCTGTCCCACTTATTCTGACCTTCTGAGTCAATCTGCATAGACAAAGAAACCTGAGCTATTGTATAATCAATTCAGTCTTCTTACTTTACAAATGACAAAAAACAATGTACAAATGGGTTTAAATGACTTGTCCAAGTTTATAAGGAAAATAGAAGCTTCTAGCACACATCTTTCTTCTAACCACTGGTTCACAATATTAGTTCAAAGGAACTCAGAGAAATAAGAGATTCCTCTAGTGTAGGGTCTTTGGAGAAATTGAAATTGAGAAGAATTTGTGTTTTTTTAAGATTTTATTCATTTATTTAGAGAGAGTAAGAGAGAAAGCATGTGAAAGGAGCAGGGGGCAGAGGGAGAGGGAGTGAGAGAATTTCAGACTCTGCTGTGAGCACCAAGCCTGCCACAGGGCTCCATCTCACCACCCTGAGATCATAACCTGAGCTGAAATCAAGGGTCAGGCACTTAACGGACTGAGCCACTCAGGTACCCCAGAAGTACTTTTTAACCAAATCTTACTTTTTCACAAAAATAATATGTTAGCAATAGAAAACTTAGGAAATGCTGTAAAACACAAAGAAAGGTGATAGGACAATTACTCATAATCCCATCCTGTGAAGGTAATGCTATTGATACATTATTCTACAACATGTTTTTTGTTGTTTTCTATCACTATGATCACACTACCTATGAAGGAACAGTATAACTCAAGGCCTGCTCCATGTTGTAACAACTCTTCATAAATATCATTTTATGCTACATGATAGTCCTTTTTTTCCATAATCGTCTTAACTTTGCTCCAATTTTTGAATAATTAGGTAGCTGGGAAAGATTTAAATAAAGAGAGGAAAGGTATCTAGAAGAGGATATGTATTTACAGCAAATTACAACATCAAGATACTCATTGACGTGTATTTGTGCTTTGAGGTTGTAGATGATCTTTCATTCTGTCTTTCGTGATACAGAAACACTAATAAGCACACTTATTGCTTATTGAACATCTTCCATGTGTTTCATGTAAATATATTTTATTTAATCCTCATAATGACTAACCAAGATCATCATTGTATGTTCATTTTAAAGACAAGGAAAATGAGATCTAGAGGAGTCAAGGGTCTAGCAGAAGGTCAGTGATGGAGTCATATTTGTTCCCAGGCCCATCTGAGGAGAGAGCTGCTTTTCTTAACCACTCTACTACATACCCCAACTTTCTCATGAATATCTACCATTATTACCATCAGGAAGCTATTTTAAAAATGAAAATGGATTGCCAATAGCTCATTTCTGGTGTAAGCAGAAAACTTATTCCCTGTAGAGTGTCAAAAACAATCCATAAAATCCCAGAACAGCTGAGAAAATCATCAATACATAAAAATCCCTCAGTCTTATCTACAGTGGTGAAAATTCAACTATGTTTCAGGTTTCTTGAAAAATGATTAGAAATAGAAAAAAGAAGCAGTGTTAATTGCAGTTATGTGAATGAAGCCTGGATTCTGAGGCTGGATAAAAATTGATTGTGCTAAAAGTAGTCATCTGTAATTAAATGAATCTGTGCTGTGCACTTTAATTAGCAGAACTTATTCTAAGTGGTAACAGTAAGTCCTAGTGTATCTCATTAAATGAAAGCCTGGCAGCCTCACCTTCACGGAGGTCCTGTTGTCTACCACAGTCTTATTTCTGCATCCATGGCTCTAATTTGAAGCTGCAGGAAAAGTGATGCATCCTTTTGTAATCAAGATGTACACGTTATGAAATCATTCTTTCATTCAGAAGACTTGGGAAAATCAGTAAACGTTATAAAATTCACTTGTAGATTTATCTTAGTTTCTATGCAGACAAGTTGCACCTATGCCTTTGAAAAGCTATTCAAGAAGATGAGTCTCCAAAAATATTTTCCAAATTTTTTTTCCAAATTCCTTAGTATCTAAATATTCAGGTTTCTGGTATTTAAAAAAGGACAGATATTTGTTCTTTTTTATTGTCATTTTGAACTTTAAAAAAATTAGAACAGCAATGCATAGTCATAGAAAATTTGGCAAGTGCAGAGAAGTATAAAGAAGCAGAAAAAAAAATCACTCATCATCCATTCAAAGACAGATTACTCTTAACACGGCAGCATATTTCCTTCTAGTTTTTTATTAAGCCATTGCTTTAGTATACCTGAGATCATTCTGTTTGCATAATGTGGTATTCTACTAAAAAGACTTGCTAAAGAAGAAATTTGGAGTTTTACTCCTAACCTTAACCTGGATAAGTGGTAGCCATTCCGTGTGCTTCTAGCATCTTAGACACAGTCAAGGTGCCTGCTGCTCTGACCCTTCGTCAAGGGGAGGCCTTTGCTGAAGGGACAGGACCCATCCCTGTGGGAGGAAGGAGTATTGTGGACATATTAAAGGAGAATTACAGGACCAGACTGGGATTAATCATACTGGGCTGGCCCTTATTCCTTGAACATTTATATCCAGAAGAAATAAGCTTATAATTATCATTCAGAGTAACTTTGAAGAGTTCCCACCATAGAGTAATCTCCACTGGGCATGAGGGTAAAGTAGAAGGTAAGGCTAGAAGGACTGAAAGGTCAAGGGGAGCCTTGATGGTATGTCAGCAAGTTACAGGACTTAGAATCATAGAAATTGAGATTTGCAGGTAAGAGTATGCATCTCAGTCCCAGATTCAGGTGTTTAAGCAACAATATCCCTTGTTTTCTTTAAAGAAAATTAAGTGGTTTGCAAGCATCTCTCTTACACTTAGTCTTGGACACCAATTATGGAAGGATTATGTGGTGCCGGAAATCAAGGACAGTCTCCATCGTCTTGTCTGTCATGCTGATGGCTAACAGCCAACAAGCCCCAAATGGGTCCTTGAAAGCCAGGTTCTGCCAATGTCCCTGCCATGTTGAAATCAGAGTTGAAGTCAGCCCCCAGTCATACCCTCTGTCACCCTCTTGGAAGTCAGGCCAACTCACAAGGAAAAACTTAAAAGCTCAGCCCCAGTCTCCCCACTCATCTCAGAATCCACAACCCTTCTTCTCTTTCCCACCCCGGGGAAGTTTCCCTTCATCTCTTAGTTCTTTAAAATATTTGCCCATTTTTCCTCACCCCAGGACACCCAAAGTACTCTCTTCGAGCTCAACAAAATAGAAGCCAACCAGGGACAGTTCTGGCAGAAAATTGCTGCCTCTGTCCTCCCCTGAAGTAAAGCAGAGCAAATGACCTGGTTTTGCTTTTGGAAAGCATAAAGGAAAATTATAAGGAGAAAAACACAAAGTAATATTTTTTCAAAAAAAATCAGCCTGCCATAGACAAGACCTTGACTAAGAGGACTCAAGTTCACATCAAAAGCCAAGGTCCTTCATTCTTTAGCCCCGGGAGGCCCTTTTTGCCATAGGTGATAAGCATGGGCTTGGAAGCCACACTGGGGTTCTGATCCTATGCAATCCCAGCTTTGTGACCATGATCAATTCTCCCCTAGCACAGTGCCTGGCACAGAGTAGGGTCAACTAATGTTATTCTCCTTTGTCCATGGTCGGCTGCTTACCCAAGTCACTTGGCCATCCAGTCCCAAAGTCATTGCTCTAATTCCTCATATCTTGAGAGCAACTCTAAGACCATCCTTCCTAAAATGTGTGCCCAGTACCCACACTTGAAATGTTCAAGTAATAGATTTTTAGCTGAATTTGGTATATATGATCCTCGTCCTTCAGATGGTAACTATTTTCCTGCTGGAGAAAGTCACAAATAATCCAATTCAACACTCTGACCACTAAGTACCCTCCAGGAGCTCTTCAACCGTGAGTATCATTGGAGGTGGCCAGTTTGAACATTTTATTCCTCCTCAGAATTCATTTTGACCTCTGAGGAAAACTGTCTTTCTAGAAATAAAGCAGGTGACATAGCATGTTCTTAAATTCATCTCTCTTTATTTTTCCTGTCTATTAGTCAGATACAGAGTTTTGGGATAAGATGCAAGCAGAATGGGAAGAAATGGCCCGGAGGAACTGGATATCGGAGAATCAAGAAGCTCAGAACCAAGTTACGATCTCGGCTAGTGAGAAGGTGACCGATTCTGTTCTTATACATGCTGACCAGTTTTCTCAACCTCTTTGCATGGCATTTTTATAAAGTAGTCATTAACTATTTTGCAAAAAAATCAAGAATCAAACAGACAAACCTATCCCAGTCTGACCTAGAAGATATGCTGGTGGATGAAAACAATACAATTAGCCAATGTGCAAAGGCAGCAAAGCTAGAATGAAATACTCTTAGTTTTATCAATTCTAATACAGTTTGGCGGCCAACAAGAGCTTGCATCTTGACTGCTGGCAAATACTGACATTGAGAGTGTGTTGGAACAAGAGCTGGCTAATCTCACAATACTTTTTGTCAGCCATTCACATGAGTCATGTGAATGAGCTAACAGAAATGGTATCAGTCGACAGTGGAGTGAAGTAGGGGCTTAGATCTCTATTTCACAGGTGGTCCTTACACAGCTAACAAAGAAACTCAGTGGAAAAGATACTCTTTACACCCTTCACACAGCAGGTCAAGTCCCAAAGGGATTCCTCAAAGATACTCCCCTGAAAGGAGCCCCAGCAAATGTGTGAGTTCAGTGAAGAACCAGCCAAATTACCCACGAAGTCCCAGTTGCCCTTGGGTTTAAGCTTTTAAAAACATTTGGCAGGAAAAAATTAATATAAATACATACATACATACGCTTGGTGAAGAGGTGAGGAGCATTAAAAAAATAAATTTAAATGACTTGAAAGAAAAAGATATGGAATTTCCTTACTCAAGGAAAAACCATATATACACAAATAAGTGTGTCTTATGGATTTTTTTTTGTGGTAGAGGAAATCTCAATTAATAGCTCTGGATAACTTCCATTTGTTCAATCCAAAATATTTACCTACCTAGCAATAGATACGATGATGAATAGTTTCCAATCTTAGGGAATTTTTAATCTACATAGTCATTAAACTGTCTTCTCCCAGTATTCTCTGCCCCTCAGTAGGTTAGGTAATCTCATAAAATCGGAGCAACTATCTTATTAAAAATAACTCTTTTCCACAAAGAAATCAAAAATGAGCAAGAAAAAGAAAACATTGCTATAGATTGTCAGACTCTAGGCTATAAATCATGCCCCCGAGGCATGGGTGGGCCCTGAGCTCCTCACCCCTGGGACCCCATATATGTAACCCCACTACATAAACTAGTTATACCCTGTGGCTTTGATAAGGGGGTTTGTCTTTCTCAGCAACAATAGAGAACTGAAGTCTCCATTTAATCTATTTTAAAACCTCAGTAGCACTATTAACAGACTAGCTTATTTGTATCTATGAAATTAGAAGGGTATTGTGATCATCTATGCTGGTAAGGCTGCAACAAATAATTTCTCTCAGATATTTCCAATGAGGGTTTAACTTGGGACAAACTTCTCAAAAGCAATTCAGTTATACATATCAAGGGCCTCAAAATAGTTCATAGCCTTCAGTCTAATAAAGCTGTCTGGAAGTCTATCCCAAGGTAATAATCATATGCAGACAAAAATTTGCAATGAGGGTTTCGCTGTAACTTTATTTATGATAACAAAAAAATTAAAAGTAACTTGAATGCCCAAAAGTAGGAGCTCGATTAAATATGTTTTGGCACAATGTAAATAGTTTTAAAAACTAAAACTAAGTGGGGCTTAAGCTACAAAGCTGCATATATGCTATGAGCTTATTTGTTTAATTTATATATTCATAGAAAAAGATTATTTGTACATTCTGTATAATTTCATTTTTTTAAATAAAAGATCTATAACTTTAAGACATGCATTCTCAATGGGGCAAATATAGCCCCCTGGGGGCAAAAACTGGTCCAAGGAGCAAGAAGGTAAAAAAATACCTTAGATAATAGAATGGTTTGTAGCTCTCCAAAGGGTTGCAGTGTATATACAGATTATAGTATGTGGCATTTAACATTTCAAGGCAATGGATGGTTGCACTTAGCAAAAATACATCCAAAACTTGGTATTTTTTAAATCTTGGGGGAAATGACTAAAACAAAAAAAGCAAAACAGTAATAGAAAACAACTCAAAAATATTAGCAGTGATATTTAAATTGTGGCATTATGGGTGACTATTTGCTTCTTTCTTATATTATTCAATAACAAAATACTATCCTCTAAAATTTATATAATGAAAATTTACTACATTCATAGGAAGGACTAAAAACCAGTCATTTAAGTTTAATTTAAGTTAAATTATAAATAATTTAAATTAAAATTCAAAAAGAGCTCTGAATATAAGAATGAAGAGATTAACCAATGGATCTCATATTGCCCTTTTCCGTGTTGTAGGGATATTACTTTCACACTGAAAATCCCTTCAAGGACTGGCCTGGAGCATTTGAAGAAGGCTTAAAAAGACTGAAGGAAGGGGACCTGCCAGTCACCATCCTGTTCATGGAAGCAGCGATTCTTCAGGACCCAGGAGATGCAGAGGTATTATTTTCCCTTCATCCTGCTAAGCTCACCAAGTGGTGGCGTGTGAATGAGGGACAGAGGACGCCACAGAGCTCTACAAAATAAAGGCTCCCAGAGGGGTTAACCTGGCTTACTCTGCTGTGTGTTTATAAGTTACAAATAGGTATCTGTCCTCTAACCAAATGGCAATATTTATAGTGTCCAAAAATAAGAGAGTGGGGTCAACCAAAATTGCCAACTGGGAGGCTCAGCGGTAGTTTTCAGGGGGCATGGCACAGTTTTGTCGTGAGCCACAACATCTCTCACCCTTGGTTTACTCACTCAGCATTAATTGAGTACATACTGTGTCCCAAAAATTGTGCCAGGCACTGGCTTTGTATATGGAAGAGCTGGAAAAAGGAAACTGTTGGAAAGATACATTTGTGGTCTATCTGGAGAGACAAGCAAATAAATCAATGCCATGTAACAAATGCAATGTCAGAGTATGCACAGGATGCTAGGGGAGCAGAGAGCAAGGCTTCTGAACGGGCCTCCCTCTACAATTAAATCTGAAGCTGAGTTTTGAAGGAGGAGGGGGCTTAATTAAAGATAGCAGAGGGGTATTAAGAGGAAGTGGTTTGTGTGTGGGCAGTGGAGCATGAAACATCATTCCAGGGAGGAGAGGGGAGGAAATGATGGCAGGAGAGGAAGAGGCAGGTAAGAGCCTAAACCTCAGGAAAGTCAAGGGAACCACTAGGGACTCTACTCAGCAGAGGGATACAATCAGATCTTCATGTTCTCTGAGGTGTGGAAGGTGATGGAGACAGAGACCAGGAGACCACCCAAAGAGGCTTCCGCCATCTGACCTCAGTCCACTGCAAAGGACTGTAATAAGATAGTGGCATGTGTGACATCTTTTTTTAGTTTGGAGGTAATTTTCAGGAATTATGTTATAAAGAATATTCCTTATCAGGAATTTGCAGAAATTTTAGGGAAGGCTATATATGGTGCCAAGATGACAGTATAGAATAATGGTTAAGATTCCAGGCTTGCTGTCCTAACCGTGTGGGTTCAAATCTCTGCTCTACCACTCATGAGCCATGAGCCCTGTGATCTGGGACAGGTCATTTAAACCATCTCAGTTCCATTTCTTCATATGTAAAATGGAAATCACAATTATAATGACTAGCTCATTGGGTGTTATGAGGATTAAGTTAGTTCATACAAATAATGTGCTTAGTTCAGTGCCTTGGTGCATCAATAATCTCTTCATTATTATTATTGGGTGTACTTAAAATTTGTATAGGAAGGATGTGTAAACTGATCACTAGGTTAAAGCTCTGGTATCTTGTTAGTCAAAACATTGACAGTGAAATGAGATTGAACTGAGAATTGGAACTGTGAACCAAAATATTGGAATTTTTAAGAAGATATACAAATTATTGTGGAAGAGAAAGTCATTTGTTATGTCAGATTCATAAATGAGAAGATTAGAGCACTGAGTAACTAATGGTTCCCAATCAAGGATCCAGGGTTTCTGAATCTTGGAGACCCCAAAATTCAGATAACAAACAATCTATGAACAGTGAAAATGACATCATGCTCAAAGGCTAGTGAGAAACTCTCAGACAGTGACTGTTTCATCAAGCTTAAGAAGCATTCTAAGATGGGGCACCTGGGTGGCTCTGAGCGTCTGCCTTTGACTCAGGTCATGATTTCAGGGTCCCGGGACCAAGTTCTGTATCAGGCTCCCCATTGGGAGCCTGCTTTTCCCTCTGCCTATGTCTCTGCCACTCTCTCTGTGTCTGTCATGAATTGAAGAAGAAGAAGAAGAAGAAGAAGAAGAAGAAGAAGAAGAAGAAGAAGAAGAAGAAGAAGAATTCTAAGATGTATGGAAAGTGAAACCAAAATAGGGGCTGCTGTGTGTACATTTAAAAGATTAAGAAGAATCACAGATTTGGGGGGATAACCAGTATTTTTTATGAGTTTATGTGGCATCAGTAACAATAAGGATGGGAAAAGTCAATATAATTTTTACATCTTCTGGATGACTCTATGTATCTTCATATAGTTTTGCTTTAAAATGTCTGTAGGCGGGAGAGTTATGTACTCCCCAAATTCTTTCAAATCCACAAGGATAAGTGTAGGCTATAAAATTATGTATGCATTATATTGCATTTTCTATGTGCTTTATGCATTTCATCAGTGATATTAGAGCAGTGAACACATTAGAGTGGAGGATTTTGTTTTATCTTCCCTATTTCCTAAATTATCTGTTAGCTCCTATAATAATAGTTAGACTTGCATTTATAAAAACTTATTTTATTTTGTACATCTTGAGATTCTTTATAAAGTCTAGACTCTTGAGCTACATTTTTGGGTTATTTTACATCCCTTTTCCTCACAAATGCCTAATTTTATATATTTATCTCTTGGTTTTATGACATCCAATATCATGAAATCTCAGATACTCAAATGTTTCCATGGGTCACAGGAGACTAAATGCTGAGAATCTGTCAATAATGGCAAAGGATCTTGACCCAGATGTCTGAAGAGCCTTTGATTAAAGAAATGCTTGTGATATTTTTCCCTTTTACAAGACTCTCACATCTGAGACAGGTTATTCTGCATAGAGGGATCTAAAGCACATGAGTGAATCTGCTTCCTCTTGCAATGTTGACCTCAGTTGTTTTTTGTAGGCATGGCAGTTCCTCGGGATAACCCAGGCAGAGAATGAAAATGAACAAGCTGCTATTGTCGCCCTCCAGAGGTAGATGAAGCTAAATGTAAAATCATGGGTGGGGTGGACACTTGTTAATGGCCTTCCTGTTTATCTTGTCTTTTGACCCTTAAGTACAAAGAATTTGGCCAGGAGAAGTGCTAAGATGCTACATATTACACTAACCTGTAGGAAACAAGAGTTTATGAACAAATAATATTCCTAAATCGCAGTGTTTTGTCAACCACAAATCAGTTGACCTTCATTGGCACAAAAGTGTTTATCTCAAAAGCGATCATAAAATAGACTTATTACATATATAGTCCCTGTTAACTTTCTAGCCTTCTGCACACTTGAAAGTTGTTTTCAGGAAAAACATACTCAAAATAATCTCTGTAATTTTAGGTCCTTGTGTCTATAGAAAATCTCCTAAAATAGCTTCAGTGACCTGCAAGTGTAACTACTAAGCCCCTGACTAAAAGTCTAGACTACTTTGGGTGGATGTAGCATCACACTTTACTTGATTAGAGCCCCCGTGTAAACCCTGGAAAAATCACCTCTACCGATTCGACTTCTCCTTTCCCTTTACAACATATAATCCCTATATAATCTCTCCCTACAGCACTGATGTAGGTACAATCTAGGGTTTGCTACACCAAATCTTCTCCAGGGACTACCAGTTTCATTATCATCTGGGAGTTTGTCAGACCTGCCCAGCCTCAGGCCCACCCAGGCCAACTGTACTACATAATCTGCATTTTACCAGATCCCCAGATGATTCTCATGCCAGAGGCCAGTGGAATAGCATGAGGAGGAGGAGCTGTAACCTGTGCTTTCTATAAACCCACATCGGTAGTCTAGAAACACAGGAATTTATCTCTTCTTTATAAAACATTGTACAGCCTTTCATCTCTGAATATCCAAATTTACCTCAAGTCAGTTTGCTCTGTGGATCTGATATGTTTAATACATCAATAGTAGAGCTGCGCTAAAACAATGCTATCCCCTCCTCATGAAATAAACTTCTAGTAAATTTTGTGCAAGGATTAGCCACCTTTTTATAGTCTTAAAGCCATATATTAAATTATCAGAACTAGTGCTCATCGAGATATGTTTTAACTTTCTTACCAACATACTTAGGTCCCAATTTTCACATAGATAAATATGGTATCGCCCAAAGATTTAACATAACTTAGCCATGCTTTTGCACCATTTAGTTAATAAAGACCTCTAATTTCCTAAAAAACTGTTAGACCCTGGATCAGGAATAATCTGAAATTGGCTATTTATTTATTTACCTATTTATTTATGCCTTCTTGCAGGTGCTTAGAATTACAGCCCAACAACCTGAAAGCTTTGATGGCTTTGGCTGTGAGTTACACTAACACAGGCCATCAGCAGGATGCCTGTGAAGCTCTAAAGAATTGGATTAAGCAAAACCCAAAGTACAAATATCTTGTGAAGAGCAAGAAGGGATCTCCAGGCCTTACCCGGAGGATGTCCAAGTCTCCAGTTGATAGGTATCTTTCTAATTAAATTACAGTCGGCAGTAAACACCTATTTACACAGTCACCATAAGGGTAATGAACAAGCCTCACCAGTACCAATTCCAGTGTGGTTGTAGGACTGCTAGAAGAGCAACTCTGATGGAAAAGATTGATGCTGGGACCAGAAACAATGAACAGACATGTGATCAAGATTGTGGGCACTTACAGATATCCAAGTACCATAATTTAAAGCAAAATGCCATGGACATTTTTTTTTCTTTTAACAATGAACTTTTACTGACATGAAAAGTAGTCATTAAAAAACAAGGTTTCCTTTAACATGGGATCTAGTCAATGAATACATCCCACATTATCAAGACATAAGCAAAAATGGTTAGTTAGTTGTGATAGAAAATATAATCAACACCAAGGTAGTTTGTTTTGGTTGTTTTTGTGCTTAGCAAATAATATTTACTAGCTCATGTGTTTACTGGATTTTCACATACATGATCACTTATTTTTCTTTCGAGATGAAATTTCTTTGTTGATTATGATACCATTTGTTGAGAATACAATGGTTTATTTTTAATGTCATAATGTATTCAACCTGTATTTCTCAAAATAACAATTAGTATAATGAAATATATTATAAAGTGACTATTTTGTTTTTGAAACTACATAAGAGCTATATTACTTTGGGAGAAATTAACCTAAATAAATAACCTAAATAATTAACCTAAAATAAATTATAAAATTTGCCAACCTCTAGAAAGCCTGAGAATTGGGTATGAGGAAAAACGGAAGTCCTTTCTTCTAGGGATTTTGTTCCTATCAGCAATAAATCATGACATTAAATTCATCCTCACGGAGCCCTGAGGTTCTCCACATTGGCACTCACAGGGTCAATAGAACTCTCCTTGTGAAGACCTTCCTTAGCACAGTCTGTTTCTGTGTACAATGAAATAATTCATGAAAATCAGCAGGTATTTTTTTTAATATGCAGTATGAATAGTCCTTCTCATTAAGCGAAGATCTCTTACGCAAGATTTTTCCAGCCTGTAATGTTCTCTTGGAACAGAGGACATAATAGCAAATAATATATGTTCAGACTATTTGGAATACACACCTCAATTTTTTTCCCTTGTAGCTCTGTTTTGGAAGGAGTTAAGGAATTATATCTGGAAGCTGCCCACCAAAATGGAGATATGATTGATCCAGACCTACAGACAGGTCTGGGGGTTCTGTTCCACCTGAGTGGAGAGTTTAATAGAGCAATAGATGCATTTAACGCTGCCTTAACGGTTCGGCCAGAGGTAAGTACACGACAAGAAACTCTAAGGTTCTTTGTTAAAAATAAGTTCTCACAGGCTACACTCTGCACATTTCTGCTGCATCTTATTTCCCTGCATCCAATGGTTTAAAGTGATCGGGACTAACAATATGCTACTGTGGCTGTTAATACTCAGGTACTTCAAATAGAAACATGAATTGCCTGACAGCATCCAATGTAGCTGCTCTTTGTTGAACTAAGGTCATTTCACAAAGTCATTCATACCATTTTTTGAGTAATTCACCACCATCCTGGTCCCTATCCGTGAGCCGTGGATAAATTTTAGCCAGCATCCTTCTTCCTGCAAGAAAGATGGGAGTACCCTGCCACTGTGGCTCGTGCCAGTTTTTAGCTCTGATTTTGTCATCAGGACTATTCCTTATGGAACCGTCTCGGAGCAACGTTGGCGAACGGAGACCGCAGTGAGGAAGCCGTGGAGGCCTACACACGAGCCCTGGAGATCCAGCCAGGCTTCATCCGATCCAGATACAACCTGGGAATCAGTTGCATCAATCTGGGCGCCTACAGGTATAGTAGGGTGGTAGGCTGAGGACCAGGAGCCACACTCTCAGGGCTCAGGTGGGATAAACAACCTGAAAGATTGTTTCCCCAGTGAAAATACCTCCTTTTATAGGAGTAGCTCTCCTCCTCTTATTAAGGGTACATTTGAACCTTTGCATCCGGAGGCCTGTTGAAGCAGGAACAATTTGCTTCAGTGTTTCTCAGTCTGCAGAACAGCAAACACGAAGGCATCTTGTGAAATGCAGATTCCCAGGCCCCTCTCCCAGAGACTTCCATTCAGGCAGCCTGGGCTGGTGCAAGTATTAATGCCTCCAAGGGCAACTCTTTGAGAAACTTGAACAGTTCACTTCCCAGGTAAAGAAAAAGAGAACCTTGGGGGGTGGGGGCAGGAGGACTCAGCAAAATGACTTAAGAGGGTCTAGGGCCTGGGTGGCGCAATGGTTTAGCGCCTGCCTTTGGCCCAGGGCGCGATCCTGGAGACCCGGGATCGAATCCCACGTCGGGCTCCCGGTGCATGGAGCCTGCTTCTCCCTCTGCCTGTGTCTCTGCCTCTCTCTCTCTCTCTATCATAAATAAACTAAAAAAAAAAAGAAGGTCTAGGGCCAGTTTTGGGCAAAGCACAACCAAAAATCCAGGTTGTTTCAAACTACTTTGCCAGTAAGGTTAGTTAAAATATTTTAAAGAAAATTTTTTTTCTTTAAAAAAATGTTAAATGGTGGGTTTATGGCTTAAAATGTCTTTCTTGTTCTCTTATTATCCCTCATCATCCAGTCTATAACCTATATCCTTTTTCCTCACCAACTGAATCCATAAATGACCTTTATTTCTTTTGGGTAATGAACATATAAGTAAGGAGCACCTGGGTGGCTCAATTCATTCAGCATTTGTCTTCAGCTCAGGTAGTGATCTCAGGGTCCTGGGATCGAGCCCCCACATCAAGCTCCCTGTTCAGGGAGGAGTCTACTTCTCCCCTGCTGTGTGCACTCTCTATCTCATATAAATAAATAAAATCTTTTTTAAAAAAAGTAAGTATAGGTCATTTTTCTTTCTTTTTCTACTTTTCATGCTTTCTAAATAAATAGGTATTACTTTCACAATTGGAAAAAAGAAAACTGTTGGTTTTAAATCCCATAAAAAAACATAAACCCTTTCTCATTCTCAAAAAGAGCCAGGTTTTTAGAATCAGAAAAGCTGGGATCCCTGGGTGGCACAGCGGTTTGGCGCCTGCCTTTGGCCCAGGGCGCGATCCTGGAGACCCGGGATCGAATCGCACGTCGGGCTCCTGGTGCATGGAGCCTACTTCTCCCTCTGCCTATGTCTCTGCCTCTCTCTCTCTCTCTGTGACTATCATTAAAAAAAAAAAAAAGAATCAGAAAAGCTTGGGTTCAAATCACAGCTCTGCCATTTACTGGTTTTGTGACTCTGGGCTCATAACTTTGAGCCTCAATTTCTTCAACATGCTTTAAAAAAAAAAGTAGTAAAACAATATTTAACCTACAGGATCCTTGTGCAGATTAAATATAAATTGCCTAACATGGAGCCGTAGTTGGCATTTGTTATTATGATTATGATCATTGCTGTCATCTTCAGTATCCTTATTATTATTATTCAGATAAGTCATCAGAGAGCTACATACCCGGGGTGCATCCTTTTGACATCCGAAGAACTACTGTTTCTGAATTGCATTTGGGGATTGTGCCATTGGCAAATATTGAGATTTCAGAAGCTGATTGCTTCATTTATACTTAGAGAATCTTAGAAAGAGCATTGTTCACTAGATTACTCTAGTCCTCTAAGAGGACCTTGCTCAGGCTAAAACCAGGAATAGCTGAGTGACTCCAGAGCAACTGGTTTGCTTTATTTTATGGACATTGTGAAGGGAGCCGCTGCAGAGACTCACCTTGCACCAGCCACCCAAAGGGCCACAGGGGAGCCTGTGCAGCCTCCTCACACATCAGCTGGCCAGGGCCTGACAATGTCTGCTTTGTATACTAAGTTCATTCCTGGTCTGGTCTGATTTTCCTAACCTGAATTTATCTTCATTAGTCATTTATTTTCTCTATTGTGTATGTATATTTTATGAGATACTGTAAATCCTATGTTTGGAACAAGGGGAGATGGAAATAAATATGTATATACATGAAACATTAAATTCAATTAAAGGAGGCTTTTAGAAAGCTTCTAGATGAGTTTTTCTTACCTGTGACTTCTCATTACAGTGTATAAAGCAATACATGAGAGGCCAATAAAATATTTTCTTGACATTCACAGGTGTAAGACTCACTAGGGCAACCATTTCCAAGAGGCCGTGAAGGTCTCTGTAGGTGGAAATGGGAAGAATGTTTAATCCTTAAACAGAAAGTCACCTGAACAGGAGCAAGTCAATTTTAGAGTTGCCAAATAAAATGTCCAGTTAAATTTTAATTTCAGATAAAGAGCAAATACATTTTTAGAATAAGTATTTCCCAAATATTGCATGGGACATGCTCGTACTAAAAATAATTAACTGTTTATCTGATATTCAAATTCAACTGTGTATCTGTATTCTTACTTGGTAAATCTGGCAACCTTGAACAAATGACTACTTCAAAGTTTCAAAACATCTTGGCTAAGATTTTTTTTTTAAGATTTTATTTCTTTATTCATGAGAGATAGAGAGAGAGAGAGAGAGAGAGAGAGAGAAAGAATGAGAGGCAGAGACACAGGCAAAGGGAGAAGCAGGCTCCATGCAGGGAGCCAGACATGGGACTCGATCCCGGAACTCCAGGATCACTCGGCTAAGATTTGTGGCTCTTTTATTTTCATCCAGATGTGGAAAATCTTGTTAAGTACTAAGTATTTTGTATTTTTTTTCCCCTGAGGAAAAAAGACTGTTGAGTGAGATGTAATTCTGAAAATAAGTTTAACTCAAGGTTTAAGTGGATAGTTAGGAAATAATAACCCTCAACAGAGATGTGACTTGGAAAAAAGCCATGAGCTGGTCCATATACTCCCATAACCACCAGTCTTGGGACATCTCCCTTAAGAACTATAGATTGTCTGTGTACAGAGCTATAACCCTTTTGTCATTGCACATTTTCTATATAGAGTCAAAGGCAAGCCCTTTCCCAGTCCTGTATAATTGAAATAAGGAAAGGAAATTGTTAGCATGAAACCTGGGTGTGGCATAAGATGCTACTCCTCTGTCAGTAGGAGCTCCAGAGTAGGATTTAGGTCAAAGAATCTTAACCTTTTCAAAAATGAGGGCCTCATGGGGCACCTGACTGGTGCAGTGAGTTAAGCATCTGACTCTTAGTTTTGGCTAGGTGATGCCCTCAGGGTCCTAAGATGGAGCCTCGTGTAGGGCTCCATGCGCAGTATGGAGTCTGCTTAAGACTCTCTTTCCCTCTCTCTGCCCCTGCACACCTCTCACCTTGCTCTCTCAAATTAAGAAGTCTTTAAAAAATAAAAAATAAATTTTAAAAAAAGTGAGGACCTCTTTTTAATGAAAACACAGATCAAATCTCCTGTGATGGTAATTTTTTAGTATTAATATAAGAGGGAAAGATACCATAAAATGAGGAATGATTTTACATGAATGCACTTTATTAATCAAGTCATACACGAAAAGCTTATTCATACACATATGCGTGAAACATTTGAAAACTATTCACACATATACATGTACAATCTTCTGAGTACCCAGAAAGGACTCTGTGTTCCCAAGGTGAAGAACAAGTTTAGACTATCTTCATGGGAAAACCTCATGCTGCTTGGCACACCTAGCATGTTAGACTATTCTGTTTCTCTCCGTGTCCCTCAGAGACCATTGCCACGTGCTTGGGAGCTAGGAGCAGCCTGTGCACGTGCAGATTCCAAGATCTTCCTCCCCCAGAGTTCTCACAGGCCTAGGATGATGAGAGGAAATGGAGTCATTGTCATTTGAGCTGCCACCCTGTGACAAAGAAGCCAGAAAGGGCCTCCAAAGTAAACTCCACATGTGCATCTGCTTATAAACCCTCTTCTCTTGCTCAATTACTAAACATCCAGAAGAGAGGACAATTAGAACCCTACTCCCTTCCATTAACCAGGTCATCATGCACAGTGCAACCATTTCCCAATTGCCCTTTATTTCCAGGCGGATCTAAAAATACAGATGAACAAATACCTGGACAATGGGCATTGGACTCAGAAGTTCAGCTTCACTTTAAAGCTTCTTACCAGATACTTGATAATGACTACCTTGCAGGATTAAGTGGGATCAAATGTGGGAAAAGCTTTTAAGAAGAATGAAGCAGATGCAAATTAAAGCAGTATTATTACTCTTAGCAAAGAAAGACCAGTTTGTCAGATACAGAACCCATGCTTCCAGCGACAGGGGTCCTGAGAGGGCAGAGCCAGAGTGCACACATGACACACAAGCAAGAGAGCAGGTGTGGCCAGGAAGAGCCAGAAGACCTGTGGACAGCATCTGATTCAGCGAGTCACAGACTTTGTGTTCTCAGGACCCCTTTATGCTTTCAACAATTATTGAGGACCTCCACGGGCTTTTATGTGGGTTATAGCCATCAATATTTACCATGCTAGATGTTAAATTGAGAAAAATTTAAAAGATTCATTTAAACATAATAATTAACTACATGTTAACATTATCTATTCTATGAAAAATAATTATTTCCCCCCAAACAAAAATGTGCTTGGTGAAAAGAGTGGCATCGTTTTACAATTTTGCCGATTTTTTAAATATCTTGCTTTATAGAGACAGATTTTCATATCTGCCTCTGCATTCAATATATTGGGATTTCACACATCGTGCAATCTCTGGAAAATTTCATTGTACATTAATGATAAAATCAAAGTAAAGTAAAAATAACATCTCAGGATTATTGGAGAAATAATTTTCACTTCACTGACCTCCAGAGTTCCCCGGACTATACTTGGAGAACTATTGATCTAACTTAGTAAGAGTTTTCACATAAATTGATCCAATTGCACCTCACACAACAAGGTTTTAAAATGACTTCTATTCTCCCTATTACACAGCTGGGGAAACTGAGTCTTGGAAGGATAAGAAATTTGCCTCAGGCTAAATGATCAGGATTCAAGCCCAGATGCTCTGATAAACAAATCAACTCAGTCCCACCCACCCCACCACCTCCCATATTTCTATCACTAATAGGAAAAGTTAAACCACTTTCTTTCTGAGTAGGGCCAGATGCTTCTTCTTCAACCCTAGTGATATAAATCACATTTGCAAATGGAGTAAGTCTTTAAATTATCCCTAAAAGTGGAGAAAAGCAAATGCATTAATAGTTAGCAATGGCCTCACTATTACTCTTTCTGTCCCACATGAGTGTCCTAAAATAAAATTTGCTTTCCTTTTTCTCTCTGGTTTCACTATACTGAACAATGATTTTTCACAAAAGAATAAGGAGAGAAGGGATCCCTGGGTGGCGCAGCGGTTTGGCGCCTGCCTTTGGCCTAGGGCGCGATCCTGGAGACCCAGGATCGAATCCCACGTCGGGCTCCCAGTGCATGGAGCCTGCTTCTCCCTCTGCCTATGTCTCTGTGCCTCTCTCTCTCTGTGACTATCATAAATAAATAAAAATTAAAAAAAAATAAAAAAAAAGAATAAGGAGAGAATAACCTGATGAACAACGTTCTAATTCTCTAAAACACCACAGAGAGGTGATTTAGGGTTTGGGACTAAGATAAGTTAATCCATTTTTGTTTTAAGTTGCTAACTCTGAAATTTGTTGCATTTTAAATGTCTGTTTTTCTACCCTCTTAGAGAAGCGGTCAGCAATTTTCTCACTGCCCTCAGTTTGCAAAGAAAGAGCAGGAATCAACAGCAAGTCCCTCATCCTGCAATCTCTGGGAATATCTGGGCTGCCCTCAGAATCGCACTTTCTCTGATGGACCAACCGGAACTCTTCCAGGCGGCTAATCTCGGTGACCTGGATGTCCTCCTACGAGCCTTCAACTTGGATCCTTGAAGGAAAAGGAAAAAAAAAATTAAAAATATAAATCCTTGTCTATGTAATTGTACTGAGAAAGGCAAAACTATTTTATTACGAATTCCAAAAAGGATAAACCAGATGTCCAAAAGGCCATGGTGATAGAACACAAGGGAATTCCTATGGACAATGCCCAGGCTCCGTTCAGATTCAAAAGCACAAAATGTTGTATATAGAGTCAAGGTTGGGCTCGAAAGAAGACCTGAGAGACACAAAGACAAACCAAGATAAAGTAACTGTGAGCTGCAAGCATATTCAAAACATGTCCTCTGGGGGTCTTGTCCCCACTTGCAGCTGATACACATCTAAGGAACTTGCCCATGGGACACCTGGAGAAAGCACTGCCTCTGATCAGGGAATTTGACTGTTTCTGAACTATCCCTGCAATTCCCCTTTTATGACATAGTCTGGGCCAAGGTGCATGCACATACATTAACTCCTGACTAAAGAGGCATTGCTTAAACCTGTTCCAATTTTAACTTTTACTGTAGCCCTTCGATTCCAGAGAGGGAGCTTTGCTGGCAAAAGCAGTTTTTTGCACTAGAAATTTTTGCTGTTCCCAATCAAAACTTTTCTGGGACTGTATATATGCACTTTAATATCTTATTTATGCCTTGCTGGAGTTTTGTTTTGTTGCTCCAATTTTTAACTTAGGGGTGAAAGATTTGAGAACTCAGCCTTGTTAGATCCGTGGACCAAATAAAAATTCATGAAAATAGTTTTTCATAGTGTAAAGTTTTGAAGGAGTTTTTCTCAAAGCAGGTATGACATAGAGTGTAGTAAATATGTCAAACACAGATCTTGCTCACATGCTTTCTGGGACTGTATAAACTCAAGCAAGAGAAAACGTACCGTACCGTCATGCATTCTCTGCAGGGAAGAATTTTGATGATAACGTGATTTCTATAGATTTAACATTAACTTGCTTAAGTGTTATATTTTACTTGCTTTCTAACTGCCCTGCACACCAATATTCCTTTTAAACCATTAATATTTTAAATAGTATTTCGTAGAGTGATAAAGACATTTTTTCCTAAAAATTGTTTTCTTAGTTCCATAATAATCTGCTCACTCTTTTGCATTCTAAGTGATAGAAGATCAATATTTTCTAGCTGAAACTCACTGAATGTTAGAGGTTTAATATGAAAGATGCATGCCCATTTGGCTCTCATTTTGAATATTTATCAAGTATCAGGAATTTTCTGTTGGTAGTGGTGTTTAATTGATTGCATTCTGCTCACTTCTTCAGGATGTGTCGTGCCTCTTGGGGATTAATTGGAATGACATCCTTTTTTAAGGAATTAGAAAAATTGTTTGCAAAATACTAACCAAAATATAATATCACCAATATCCAATTCTAGCAATTTGCCCTAGTAAGTCGTCCCATTCTTCTCTTTTCTCTTTCCTTCCTCCAGAATCTTCCCCAGAGCAATCTGATCCCAACTTTTTCTTCACGTTCTCCGGTTAGTCATAGCTGGTTACTCTTATGATTATAGTTACCAAGCAAACAGCATTTGAGTCAAGACAGTTTAATTGACTGGGGAGTTAGCTTCTCCTGAGGGAGAAATGTGTGGTAGAAATCCTCTCCTCTGTTACCTTGGGAGTCCCATGGGTGGGAAGGGGCTCGAGGAAACACGAAACCACAGCCCTTGAGGTTTATGTATGTTACAAAGACAGAGTTTATAAGGTTTATAAGGACAAAGAGTCGAGGGCCCAATGGTGTGCCAGGCTTTCAGCTTCATTGTCACAGCTCACTTGGGCAAAGGTGGGGCCCCCAACTGGACCACAGGAGGCAGAGGCATTAAGGCATTCACTGTTGGGCAGTAGTGACAACCCAGGCTTTGCTTACTTCCTTCCAGTCTTAGAAGCAAATAAAGCTCAATAATAGTTTCAAAACTACTCTTTAGAATTTCAGAATCCTAGAATTCAATCTAGGAAGGACTCTTGGGGCCAGGCTTCAAGTTAATGGCAGCTGCCTGCCCCAATAGCTTCCATTCTCTGCATGTTCCTCCTCCCAACTTCTGTGCATTTACTGGCTGGCCAGCTGATCTGCATCCATCATAGTCCAGTAGGAGCCTCTGAACACAGGATTCAAAGCAAACCTCACAGGTTTCTGTTTATGATGCTGTTCTAGACTTTCAACACTAACTGAATTTGCAATAACAAGCTGTTTTCTTAGCTTTGCTGGCATGAGTTAACAGTCTAAAGCCTGACAGCAGGGTAAATGCAGGAAACGTTGATTTAATTCGATTGTTGCTAAGTAGTGACAAGTTTTGCAGCCCCAGTTTTATTTTGCTGTCAGAATACAATACTTTCAGAGGAGAGTAGACAATTTTCCAATCCCATCATAATTTGATAATTTCCAGAACATTCAGTAGGGCTTTCCCCAGTATGTCCAGTGTCCATTAGGACCAAGATTTTCATAGTCGGTTGCCTATCAGGAAGTGCAGAATTATTGTCCACGATGTTTTTCAACAATATTTTTAAATAAAATTAAGTAAAAACAGTTACTAAAAAACAAGGGAAAGTTTATAGAAATCAGAGCACCACCAAAACTTAGTAAGATTACAGAACAGTCTTTATTATATACATTTTTAAAGTATATACACATTCTTTTAAGGCAGAACTGTTTTTTGGTGTTCTAACCCCAGTGGTATAAAATTGTCATTTAAATTACTTTTTCCATTTCAAAGAACAGGGTGTCCTTGGTTCCTTTCTGAGGCACCCTGGGAAGGCTTGGAGTTTTTTCTTTCTTTCTTTCTTTCTTTCTTTCTTTCTTTTTTTTGGGGGGGGTGGGATTACTGAGTAAGTAAGCAAGCCTAAACTCTCTTAGAGGATGCTACTGTTTTACTAGAATGACCATCCAGTTGCTCAGATGTATCTTTCAAGAACTGATTTTACTAGCAGATTGGATGAAAATGCAGAGAAAGCCCGGGATCTTTGCTGAATTTCAGAATAAGTTATAGCTATGTCTCCTGGGCTATTTATTCTTTCTGCTGTACCTTAACAGTGGGAAGGAGGTGGAGGGCCAAAGAAAAGAAGAAGGAGTAAAGCACCCCCTTACTGGGCCAATCATACGGAGTCATCATTCCCTTTGCGTTCTCTTAAGATCATTCCCCATGACTCCCTGCAAGGAAGGCAGATCTTGTCCACCAGGAAACTTTACCAGAAAACTAAGAGCTGTGCTTTCTCAGCCAATCTGCATTTCAACTAGAATGGCACACTAGGGTTACTTAACTGGGCTGGAATGTTCAGGACACACTCACCTTCAGAGTTTTATGCCACTCTTCTTCTTTACTTTAGAGAAAACTATTACATTGAATCTTGGGTCCATGTCAAGATGCCCAAACTAGGTGTATCTTTCTAGAATATTCTTGCTATACAAGCGAGACTTGAACCCAACGATAGCTAGTCCCACATATAACAGGAGCTCCTAAACTTTGTCCCATAAACTTTATCCATGAGCCCTTTGGGAACAGAGAAAAATCAAAGATAGTCATTTTGTGCCCCTTCCTCATCTGCCCTTGAATTAGTTCCACAGGATGGGCCTGCACTTTCAGTTAATTGTTGCTATTGTTTTATACCTTGAAATGATTCTAAAAGCATTTTAGAATCAGGGTATTCTGAAGGCTTGATCTGTGTGCCATCTCTTTGAGGCCTCATATTTTAGAAATTACTGAACATGCACACATGATTTCAACGTTGTAAAATAATTTCACATACCTTCCCTCTCCAGGTTTTGCTGCACAGTTTCCCTGTCATCTCAGTATTTATAGAACTGGTTGAAATTAAACTGTTTTGAACTAAGAAGTAGACGTATATATATATATTTTTTTAAAGAGTGTTCATAGATGAACTCTGGCATAAGGTTTGTAAAAAGGCAATTTTTAAAAAATAAAACATATAACCTCAGGTACAAAATAATGCATGCATTAGTACTTGCAAATCTGCCTACTCAAATATTAACCAAAGCATGCAAGATAAACTTTACTGAATGTAAATTTACCCAGTGCATGATTAAGTCTCATAGGTTAGCTTGTTTTTTCCTTGTTTCTGAGCAAGGAAACATTTTCATGAACTTTATGTTAAAGTTGTACTATTTGCTTTCAATATCTTAACCCTCGAGATTGTTTTCATGCTATCACACTTAACTTTACAGATATTCCCACGTCTGGCTTATGCAGTGTTGCAGCCAGTGCCAAATGGATCTACCGAGAAATCCTGGTACTTAGACATCTAAACGATTTATAAAAACCAGTTGAGGCACAACAGATCCAAAACTCAAAGTCTATATGTCTGAACGCTACTAAACAAACTTGTGTTGATTGCGTCTGCACAGTTTTGGGTTCTAATTCTGAATAGTGCATTTCAAACATTTTCTAAAATTCAAGAATAAGTTAGAAATACTGACATTCTAAATAAGGTAGGGAGGTTGGGGTAATGCCAGGCACATGAAAACCATCATAAGGCAAAGGACAAGCGGACTTAATTTCCACAAATGTTACATCATGAGTGTGTGGGGTGTCACACCATCGTCCTCCACATGGTATGATATAAGTAAGCTACTTGGGCCCACCTCCCTTAAGAAACTGGACTTGGTTGATCTGTCTAAAAACATGGAAATTCAGGGGTGATGAGGTGATTACATGGTCACTCAGAAGCAACTTGGAAGTCCTCTCACTGCTTTCTTCTGTAACCCTTGCTTCATGACAATATATGGCAAGAAGACCAGAATCGGATGGAGCAAAACTCAGTAAGATGAAGTGGGAGGAGGGTGTCTTCTGTTAGTAACAGCTTTGTCACCATCTCATATACCCCCAAACACATACATATAAGCTCAAAGACAGAAATCTTCAAACACACAGCAAAGACTCTCGTGTGGAGTCATTAAGCAGTTAAGAGGAGAAAACCCAGAAAATTAAAGTGTGAGATTTAATAAACTCTCATGTAGTATTTTGCTTTGAATAAGGTTTCCGCTACCAGCAACCTCTGCAGAAATACCAAAATAATGCACTCTAGAGACAAGGGCCCCAATCCCAGAACTGTTTTCTCAGGACCTTCTCTACAGGAAAAAAACAACTTACAATGGGAATGAGCAGAGTGTGGTAGCAAAACCCTTGCCAGGCTCATTGGGACACTTTTAGAAACCTGCACTCAAAAAACACTAAGATGAAAAAAAGAACAGCAAAAAGTTTGTTGCTCAACAATAAAATGTGTGTCTTTTTTATTTTCTTTCAATTTCTTGGAGAGGGCAAATTGTATGACCAGGAAAAAAAAAAAAGATAAGAGATTACAAACACACTCAACTGGGTAGTTTGGCATTTTCACTGAGAGACATAAAAATTTTGCATAGATACCATAAAAGAATTGTGCAATTTAAGAAATGTTCATGATTAAATATGTTGCCAGTAGCTAACGGAAATAAAGCAAACCTAAATTTTTACCGACATCCTTTCAATTTCTCCCACATCACCTCACTCAAACCCTCTTCAACTTTCATTGCCCAGGTTTGTTTACATTGGTTGAAAAGAAAAAAACCTGATTAATTTAATAGACTTTTTACAAACTATAACAAGCATTTACTATTTAGAAAAGACATTTCTATATATTTTGTATATCTATGAATATTACATATCTAGTCTAATCTAAAGATATTGAGATAAATTCTTCTGTGTTGCTTCTTTATGCTCAATAATGTTTAAAATCTTGGGATTTCATTTTTAAGCTGAAATAGATAACAAAAAATTTAACCTTAAATGTTTACATTGAGTTTTTAAATTAAAACCAACCCAAATTAAGTGACCTATATATAGCAAATTAATGGCAATGGGGTGGGGGTATAAAAGTTATGGGCATCCTATGTGATAATGTAACTGTGTACTTAGTAAAATATTATGTATCATAGCACAACTCTGTTGGATATTAATACTTCATCTTAGTATTTCCCTGCATTGCTCTTTGAAATAAAACTCCTACTATAAAAATAACTTCTTATCATATTAATGTGTTTAATTTATTCCTTTGGCTTATATTTGCAAAGTACCAAGATTAAGGTAGTATTTTTATACTATTATTGGAAGCATGCCTTCCCTTTTTCACATTACTAAATTGTATTTATATTTGTGCAATTTTAAACTATGTTTTCAAATAAACTTTGTCTGTGGCTTCAAGGTCTTTTGAGAAATCTTTCAAAATGGGACTTGGGGATCGGATCTGCTTCAAGTCAAATATAATCCAATTTGTACTACTGGTAAAAAAAAAAAAAGCAAAAAACAAGTCTTTTGTTGGATATCACCACATATGATTTTGCATGAGTTATCTGGAAATTAAGAATGCATTTTTTAGATATAAAACAAAACTTTAAAACCTCCTTTGTTAATTTTTTAAGAGTAAAATATTATTTAACCTGAAATTGGATTTTGTGATTTTTTTTGGAATAAAAGTATCAAAATATATTCCAGTTTTAGGATCTGGGGTTTTTTTCTTTTTTTTTTTCTTTTTTAATCAGCCAAATATTTGAGGTTCTACTAGGTGCAGGTACTGTTCTAATGCAGGACAGTGGTGAGTTAATCAAATTGGACTTGCCCTTGAAGAGCTTAGATTTCTGTGAGGGATTAACAAATGTTTTAACAAATAAGAATGTCATGTGCCAAAAAGTGCTAAAAGAACAAGGCAAATAAAGTATTATGAGAGAGATGGTGGCTCCTTTATCTATAGATGGTCAAGAAAAGATGGTTTCTTTAAGGTAACATTTGGGTTGAGCTCTGAACAAAAAGAAACCAATCAAGTGGAGTTGGGAACAAGCATTCTTAGCAGAGCTAACAGCTTAGCACAAGACGCCAAGGTAGGAATGAGCTTCGTGTGTCTTCAAGGAGAAAGGAGTCCAGGGTGGCACAGGCCGTGAGCAAGGAAGATCTTAAGGAGATGCCCTGGCAAAGCAGGAGATTGTTGGTGGCCTTCCTAGAGCACATGAAGGGTGGATTTGCCCACAGGCAGAGGAGGGATGCCACTGAGACAGAAGTTTCTGTTTCCAAAATGTTTACGAATGAAGGTCGTGGGCAGTTAGATGGGTGATGCAGGAAACAACAGGCTTGGACAAACACAGCTACACAGGGACAATGGGCACGCCTTCTCCCTCTTGGTGTAAGCCAGCACTGAACCTTGCTGGAAGTTCATTTTCTCCTCTGTAAAATCAAGCTGTACCTCTTTCTTTCTCATCTCACCAGTGTTCTACTCAGTGGTGAATTGTGGCTCCTCTCTCCACCCACTGCATAACTCAAACTTTTGTATGTCTCTTACCCCTTTTTAAATGAGTTCTATTAATTTCCTCAAATAGCTGCTTCATTCCATGTGTATATATAAAAGCAGCCCAAGGTTTGAAGTGTTCTTTACCTTTCTTTACAAAGGCTCCTTATAGTAACGCCTTACCTATCCAGTTCTTTAGGGTTCACAAGGACTGATGCATTTTTTTTTTGGACTGATACATTTTTTTCCCCTTACTTTTACCTCATAATAAATAACGCTGCCTGGTAATCATCTTAATGAAATCAGCACTTTGAGAACTGATGGTTAATTTTAGTATTTTGCTCTATAGAACTAAACCATTTGATTCTCAGTAGGCCCCGTTTGGGCTTAGAAGGTGGCGACCAAGCAGTACAGCCTTCCAGCCCAAGTTTTCTGAGAGGGAAAAAGAAAGGAAGCTAACATCTACCGAAACCTACCATGTGCCAGATTCCTAGGCCATTGTTTCTACTATGCCACCTTAGCCCTAAGCAACACTCAGGTCCTCTGCTCTTCCCGTACTAATAATGTATCCAGTCCATATTAATGTCACTGCAAATGGCAAATGATAAACATGATAGCAAAAACTGTGCCAAATAAATAAATAAATAAATAAATAAATGTCTTACAGATTAAAAACTGACTAAAGATCACATCTACTACTAAAAACTGCAAAAACTACCCCAGGAAAAAGTAGGCTTGAAAGAAATTACCAGGACAATGGCTAAGAGTGCTCATAGCAAAATTTGCTATTGATTTAAAAAATGACAAAAGGACAAAATCTTGACAAAATTCAGATTTGCAAAATTTGACCTGGTAAAGGGGGGCCCGGTGGAAATAACGGCTGACAATAGGAATCTGCAATAGCAAAAGTTTCTGATGAGGACCAAAAGCTGATGACTCAGACTGTCCTCATAAAATCTACATAATTGATCCCAATTAAACTAATGTCATTAAAATAGAAAGGAAAATGTAAAAGCCTAGAGAGAGTTCAACTAGATAACTATTTCACCCTGTCTCCTCTCTCCTCAAACCTCCAATCTCCCCAACCCCATGCTCCCTCCAAGCTGAGGATCTCACTTACTTCCCTGAGCAAATTTGAGCAGATAGGAGAAAAGCCAGACCCTCAGCACTCCACCTCCTCATAGCCACGTCTCTCCCTGCCTCCTGGCCCCACAGATAGGCTCCCCAGCCCCTGTCTAACGTCAGCTCCCACTGGGCACCAGATCCCATCACCTCTTCCTGCTCAAGGGCAGCAGACAGTGATCCTTCCTTTCTGTCCTACATCCTCAGTCTTGTGCCTCCTATTTGACATGTTATTTCTCATATTTAAAAACCTCTCTTGGGGTGTCTGGGTGGCTCCGTCGGTGATGCGTCGTCCTTCAGCTCAGGTCATAATCCCAGGGTCCTGGGATCGAGCCCCATGTGTGGCTCCCAGCTCAGCAGGAGTCCGCTTCTCCCTCTCTCTCAATTGTGCTCTCTCTCTCTCTCAAATAAATAAATAAAATCTTTAAAAAAAACAAACGCACCTCTCTTGATCCCATCCCACTTTCCGTCAGCCACCACCACTTCTTCGCTTCGCTTTGTGGCAAAATTTCCCCAAAGATTTGTTTGCATTCATCTGCTATTCCTGTCCTCCCAAACTGTCCCCATGGAGATCACCCGTGGACTCCAAGCTGATCAATCTTGCGGTCAACTCATCTGACTTAACCTATCACAGTTGTCTGACAGTTAATAACTTGCCTCTTTACCACACTTTCTTCACTTGGCATCCACTTTCAAGCACTATTCTCTTTGCTTTCCTCACCTTGGTGTTCACTCCTCTCAGTCTCCTTTGCTGGTTCGTCTTGTCCTTGACTTCTTCCATTGAAAGACTCAGTCCCTGGACCAATTCTATTTCCTGTCCCCCTCCATTGGTGATTGCACTCAGGCCCTGGTTTAAATGCCATTTAGCTACTAACAACTCCCAATTTTATATCTTCAGTCCAGACTTCTCTCTCAAAATCCAGAGCTGTATATACAGCTTCCCACGCAATATCAACCATGGAGGTCTAATAGGCATTTTAAACTCAACACATCACATGAGTTTGTGATCACCTTTTCCCATCACCAATCCCCAATCCCACCAAGCCTTCCCTATCTTTGTTGATTGCAACTACATTCTTCAGTTACTCAGACAAAAAACTCTGGGGTCTTCCTTAGCTACTCCCACTCCCTCACATGCCACATCCTGCCCATCAGGAAATCCTATTAGCTTCACTTTCACATGTATCCAGAATCTGACCATCCTTGCTGCCTCCACTGCTACCACCTTGTCCATGTGAGCCATCAACCTAGCCTACCTTGCTTACCACAGTAGCTCCTATTCTTGCCCTCCTATCATCTCATCTAGGCAAAGTACAATCTTTGTAGAACTTTGGTCAGTTCAGATCATCACTCTGCTCAAGACCCTATAATGACTCCTGATAGCACTCTAGAATCAAGCCCTTCCAATGGCCTTCTGGCTCAGGCTAACTAGCCCCTCCCCAAATTCCTCTCCCACTACTCTCCCCTTCGATCCCTTCTTTCAAACCACACTGATCCCCTTGCTGCTTCTCTGACATAATGGATATGCTCCCCCAGCTTGGAGCTTCTGCCCCAGTGAACCCCTCCGCCAAGCATATCTTTCCGCCAAATATCCATTTAGATGACTCCTCCACCTCCTTCAAGTCTTGGTTCAAATCTTACCTCCAAATGATGCCGTCAAAAAGTACCCCATTTAGTACCATAATCCGCACCTCCCACCCCTCTTCTGCTGTCCCTTTTTTCCATACCACGTAATATCTTTTAACATATTATATAAGCTATTTATTTCTTGTTTATGTCTGGCTCTCCCTGCTAGAAAATAAACTCAACAAAAGCAATGAGTTGTGTCTACTGATACATTCTAAGAAAAACAATGCCCAGCACATAGAAGTTTTGTACCTATTGAATGGTGAACCATGCTACATAAACTAATAAAATAAGTTGGCTTAGTGAAATTATCTCTAGAAATGCTTTGGGAAAAAAAGTTATCGATGTTGTTATAATTGATTAACAAAAAAGAATTTTCTAGATTGAAACAAAGGGTCAAAACCTCCAAAGGTCAAAATGCTGTGGGTTAAAATAATGCTGTAAAATAACGTAGTAAAAATATCCTGTGCTACCAGACTGTCAGATGTTTTACATAACTCATCTCATGTGTTATCATGCCCACTGCACAGATGCCAAGACTATGTTTCAGTATATTAAGTGCTTACCAAAGTCACATAGCTAGTCTGGGCTGGAAAGTCAAGTCTCTATGTCTCTACTCTTGCCATGTTATCATTCTGCCTCCCACCCCCATCTCACCGAAAGACTTTTCCTGGTAAATTTTTAAATAATTGGTTGCATGAGGATAAGAGTAAGTCATTGTCTCCTATTAAATTTTTCCACTACAAATGGTTTGTCACTGACCACATTAGAAAAGCAGGACCTTAGGTTCAAACAGTGCATACACACACTGGTAAACTCTCCCAGGGGGCACAATGGGAGAGGGGCACAATGGGGGCAAGTGAATGTAAGAACTTTATAATTCTTGAGTCATAAAAAATCTCCCAGCCCAATCATTTCCTTCTCCTCTTCTTACCAAAACATCATGGCACAATGCTGATGCTGGTTATTTTACTTGTATTTTTAAAAATATATAGGTTCTTTTAAAATTTTTAAGTATCAAATAGAAATGTTTTAAGTAGTAATAAGCACACCCTAAGTGGTAGACAAAATAATGCCTCCTCCAGGATGTCCACACCCTAATCCCTGAACCTATGAATATGTAGCCTTACACGACAAAAAGGAACATCACAGATGTGACTAAAGATTATTCTGAAATGGGAAGATGATTCTGGACTTTCTGGAAGGGCCCAATGTAATCATAAGGGTTCTTATAAGAGGGAGCAGGAGAGCCAGTCAGAGAGTCAAGACAATGGAAGCAGACACTAAGTAATGCCCTTAGAAGCACAGGTTAGGAGGCCACAGGTCAAAGAATGAGAATAGCTTCTAGAAGCTGGAAAAGGCAAGGAATGGATTCCTTGCTGACACCTAGACTTTAACTCTGTAAGACCCATTTTCAGACTTCTCACCTAATAAATGAGTTCTTTTGAGCCACTACATTTATGGTCACTTGTTACAGCAGTAATAGGAAACTCATACACCCTACAAACATGCTGCCACAGGCATACTGAGATCCCTTGGTGCAACCAGCTCATTGAGTATGCTTGCACCTGCATTAGGGAAGATACCAGCAAGTTGGGAGCCGCGGA